AAGTTTTTCTTTTGCTTTCTGCATTTAATAATGAATATAGAAATTCTGCTGTAAGTATTGAAAGCTTTCACCAAATGTAAGTTTCAGATCTGAACTTCTAAGTTCATTAATCAATATAAATTGTCTTACTGTTACAATAATTCTGTAAGTTGACTAAGAGCATGAAATGGTATAGTCATCAAAGATTAAATTACTTTTTTTTTTTTTAAATAAGTAAAGTTTATTTAAAACTAAATTAAAATGACAGTACTTTGAACTATTATTTCCAGTACTACTATGAGTTTTTGCCGGTTCTGTTATTTTAAACCAATTAAATAAAAGTAAAAACATAAACATGACATTTTAATTTTCAGGCACGAGTCTGCCTAGTATGTGTTTTCTGTCTAATTTTTTTTCTGAGAAGGTTATAGAAAATTACCCAGGATATTTTTACTGAGTCAGTTCTATCTTAGTAGTAATAAAAATTACTACTACGATGACTTCTGTACTTAATTTTTAATACAGAGTTGTATATGTGGCATTTATATGACATGTCTGTCTAGGATAAATATTTTTAGACCTAATGTTACTGTGAGATTTTGTATAGGTTTTCTGTTTCCTCAGAAAAAATAATCTAGAATCTTGGAAAGGAAACTTGGAGTCAGCTGCTGATCTGGTTTAGTACTACTGTTATTTTTTTTGCTAGGTTTTTAGTAGATTGTAGTGCACCCTGTAGTTGGGTTTTGTGCAAGCTTTAAAGTGATAATTTTGACAGCAGGAACTAAGTTAAAGTTTTTGTTCAGGCAGGTATGTGTCTGTGTACGGAGTACGTGCATAGGCAGAAGTCAGAAATTGTCTCTTTTTTTTTTTTGGTATTCATTTGTGGTTTCATTTGAATAGTTTGTCAAGACATCGTTCCCTGCAATAAAAAATTGGACTTGACCTTTAAAGTTTTTTCATTTCGGATAGGGAAGTAGAGTATTAAGTTCAGTTCACCTGTATCATTTGCTTGTATTTAAGATATTGAAGTTTTTGTTTGTTCGTTGTATTTCTTATGTTTGTCTTAATGAGGTGGTGTAGGATTTTTTTCTAGTTTGTTATGGAAGCAAGCCCAGCTAGCTGTTGTTTCTTTTGCCTCTTCATAACTGTCAGATTCATAGTGTAAACCTGAATCTATAATATTTTAAAAGTTATTTTTGAAGTGTTTGCTTTTTACTTTTAAATTATATATGATGGTGACTAGTTGACTAACCGAGACTGTAGATAGGGTTTAAATTCCATGGTATTATGCTGGCTCTGGCATTTCTTTCCTTTCCAGATTCTGGATTTGTAATTATTTTACTATTTTTTTTTTTCTTTAGCTGTTACATTCTGAGTTCTTGCAAAGTATTTAATACCATTTGGAATTTCTGTTGCTTCAATCCTGGCTAAAGATAAGCTAACATCCACATGAAAAATAATTTAATCAACAGAACACATATGCTTGTTTGACATACACTACTTGAAGTCTTAGCAAAGATTCCAGCATGTCTCTCCTCAATACTCATGAAGCAAGCAGGTTTCCTTCTGATCCCAGGTCAATAAACTGTGTGGTACTTTGCTATAAAATGTTTTTTTTCTGCAGGAAAAAAACCTGAAAATATTTTCAGATCAGTTCATGTGCTTTGAAACTTGTGTATTCAGGTGAAAGATAGCTTCAATACATGATAGTTTTCTTTATGTAAAGCTCATAGAACCAGCTGTTGTCTGTGTAGCTTCATGTGATGTATCACTCTTCTCACAGTGGGGCTTGGATGGGTACTTGGTTTGATTTAACACATTGCTGCTGCCACAAGAGACTATTTTGCTTCCAATTGGGAGGACCTTTCCTGTTTCTTGCTGTAACTCTGCTTATCTGATGTTACCTCCTTGATGATCTGATTTAGACCACTGAGCTGTCAGGGTTGGTTTGCTTATATTTTTTGCAGATCAGATTCCTGGGCTAGTGGGCTGACCAAGGGAGTCAGGCAGGCGCAACTCGGAGGCTGCATAAACAAGTGTGGAAGTTCCATAGGTGGAGGGGAGAGACTGTGTTCCTGAAGCATACAGTTGCATCCAGCTGTTGAATCCCTTGCTTGTCGTGTTGACTGCACCATTGTCCCTTTGCTGGTTTTCAAGAGGGTGTTATTTGATCATGGGAGGAATTTTTTGGATTCTGTTTCTTCAAAACATTTTTTTTTTCAAATTATACCTTTTCAATGGTGTAGGATACTTTGTGTATCTTCCTTGCAGTATAGATATATGCATGACCTGAGCTGTGATTTTAATTTCCCTAATTCATTGGCTATGGCTCATATTTGCTTTTATAACAGCTACTCTAAAAGAAACCTGTTTGTGGTTTTCGGTAATATCCCTACTTTGCAAGCTTCCTCTGTGCAAGAGAGAAAACTTTGGACTCTGGTCCTCTGTATTCATACAGGTAAACCAGTCTTTGTGGAACTAAGGTGTGACTTATTTGTAGAAACACAGCATGGTTTGGGTTGGAAGGGACCTTAAAGACCATCTGGTTCCACCTCCCCTGCCATGGGCAGGGACACCTCCCACTACACCAGGTTGCTCAAAGTCCCATCCAGCCTGGCCTTGAACACTGCTAGGGACGGGGCAGCCACAGCTTCTCTGGGCAACCTGGTCCAGTGTCTCACCACCCTCATAGGAAAGAATTTCTTCCTAATATCTAATCTAAATCTCCCCTCTTTCAGTTTGAAACCATTACCCCTTGTCCTATCACTACATTCCCTGGTCACGAGTCCCTCCCCACCTTTCTTGTAGGCCCTCTTGAAGTACTAGAAGGCCTCTAGGAGGTCTCCCTGGAGCCTTCTGTTGTCCAGGCTGAACAACCCCAACTCTCCCAGCTGTAAAATGTATTTGTGTAGCCCCTTTAAGGCCATCATAATTATGTAACCTGTTTTTGAAGTTACAGCTTAAAATTGTAAGGATATTTCCAGTGGATGTGTGAAACATACTGGTATGAATGGTGTGGTTTGAAGTGCCTAGGAATGTTTTCTTTCAAAGGCGATACCTAATATATATAATCCTAATTTTAAAATATTTTTTCTATTGCTTTTAAGAATACCATCTAAAATTATTGTTTAATATTAATTTAGAATAAAATATTTGCTCAGTGTCCTCATCTTGTTACCTCCAGGTATAACTAGTTTCTCTAAAGACTCATGTTCTCTGTAGATTTTAGACTGAGCAACAAGGGAAATTTTCATGTTCCAGAAAGCTTAGTCTGGTCTGGCAGTTAACAAAATAAATCTTACCATTTAATCTTGCCCTCTTCAGAATGGCTGTTTTTGTCTGCCCCTTTTTCTTTTAAATTCCTTTTTGTTGAATTGAAGGTTGGCTAAGAAATTTGGGGTTGTTTTTTGCAGAATGGTTCTGCTTAGTATTGTTTGACTAGTGAAAATGGAACTTTTCTGAGCACTTAATGCAGGAAGAAATTTAGCACCCTGTTCAAGATGCAAGATCTTCTTATTGCATCTTGATAAAAAGATCTAGGTTGTCTTTAACTTCATATAGTTAAGTATATCTAAGGTTGGAAACTCCATCTTTGGCACTTCTGGCTTAGAGAAATTGTAGTGTGGTGGTGGTGGGTTGGGGACAAAACATTAAGAAATATGAAGCAATTAGTGAAATGATAATCTCTAGGTAACATAATAAATGAAATGTATGATTCCTAAAGGTGTCTTTTGAATTTTTTTTATTCACCGTGACAAGAGAATTCCATGATGATGTGTGTAGCAAGTACACTTACAGCGGGCAGTTCATTCAGATCCGCTTTTTAACTTCGTAGCAGTGTGGTTCACTGACTTGGGGATCTGATACTTAATGGTAACTTTTGTTTATGCTTAGGTTCTAGGTCGTCTCGTGTGTATTCTGAGAACATTCATTTGAAACGCTAGGGATGGAAGTGTGGGAGATAAGTTTTTTGACCTTACTTGCATCTTATATCAGCTACTAGGCAAAGCCAAATTAAATGTCTCAAGGTAGAAATGCTTTAATGCGTTAATTGGACGGTTAATCTATAAAGCATGTACAGCTTTTCACATATGGAACAATTTTGCTTGAAATGCTCTGCTTCTCATATAGTACATGTCTATTTAATTAGAGTGTTCTTGTGTACGAGTTCTAGTGAGGTAGCTGCTTTACTTTTCGTTTAAATGGAAATCTTGTGTAGTATTTGGCTGTCTGATCCCTGTCAGCTGCTCTGTGTCCAGCTTCTGAGATTCTTGTTGGTTTGTATGCTCTCTGGCTGGATCACAGTTGATCTTTTTTGTAAATTTATTATTTTCAAATTTTGTCCTTGACATATTTTTAGCAAAAGTGGGGGATTTAAAAGAACAGAGGAAAATTAGTTTGCCACTTTCTTGCAACTGAAGCAAACTTCAAGTGTTGGTTTGTTGTTTTTTTTTTTTGAGCATGAAAGCGAAGTTAACATTTATGCTATAGCTTCTTTCATGAAGCGTCAGAATATTTTAATTTTGGTCTTACTGGCTCTGGTCTTAACAGCTGCTCTATCGTGACCTTTGGTTCGTTATACAAAAGTCATGTTTCAACTGTGTATTCCAGTCACTTAGTTTTACAAGGAAATTAGTATGAAGACAAGTACCTGTGTATTAATAAAATTATCTTTAAAAAACCCTAGCATGTTTAGTAATGATTTTGGAATGTTACATGGTTCTTAAATTGGTTTCAGAATAGATGGAACAGAAGGACTGGGTAGCGTGGAAATTATAATGATTCCAAATTTAAAGGAAACATTGTAAATATTATTATTTTAAAAAATTTTTAATATAATTTTGTATTTAGCTATAGTTAGCTATAGTTCTATTTTGCTGTCATCCATACCTTAAGAAAAATGCATACGTAGGACATCTTTTGCAAATTCCACTTACTGGTTCAACTCACTGTTGAAAATACTGATGCTGAAAAAGTGTTGAGATGGCTTTTATTTTATAGTTGTGTGATGATTTTATTAAATGACCAGAATGTATGAAGATCTCGGTTGCTACAGCTGTAAACCAGAGAGTTTAAAAGTCTAAAACGTTTTTTTTTCCCCCCTCCTCTAGATTTTCAACTGAATTCTCACCTATCAACACTGGCAAATATTCACAAGATTTACCACACCCTCAATAGGCTGGTAATGACTTGCCATTTTCTCTCAGCAGAACAGCTAGGGCTTTTAGTCCAGAATGTTTTGTGATTGAAATAATTTAAAAAAATATAACTGCCTTTTTTTGTGAGGCTTTTGGTTTTGAGTCCGTTATGAGATAAGCGGTATTAGTAGAAGGTGAAGGATTATGCTCTGGGGGTCCCAGTGGAGTTTGAGCACTGTTTACTGCAACATTGGATTTAGATGTTGTCTCCATAGAAGAACCTTTAGTACATATATCAAACAATGGTGATCATCATCATTATCCAATTTCTTAGAGTTCTTGTGTACAGCCACACAAAGAGTGAAACAAGATTTTTTCTGAAATCTGTCCCTGCTTCTTTGCTGTGCATTTACATTTGTTTTATTACAATCGTAGCTGGAAAATGTCAATACGGCTACTGTTTGTAGCTTGCAAATTTGGTGGAAAGACACTTGTTTCCAAGATTTCGGTTTGGTTATAATCAGTTTTCTTTAGAATTTGTGTTTATCCTTAAGCAAAGCCATTTCTCTGGCAAATGGTAAATTCAGTCTTTCTAATGCTGTATTTATTAATAGAATTCAGTACAACAGTGCAAAATTCCCCATCCAATGGATAGTTAGTTTAGTATGTTTTTGATTTAAAAAAATGAAAAATATTTTTCAAGTTACTTAAAGCTTATCCTTGAACTTTTTAGATAAATATGAACTGAAAACACAGAGGCTCTGCAGTCTAAGCTAGATGTTCCTTAAGTAATTAAGATGAATATTAATATCAAATAAAGGTTAAAACCATTACTGATCAGTGAAGATCACAGTCTTGTTTAACTGTATCATTCCTACTCTCTTGCAGAATCTGACAGAGGACGTTGGTCAAGACGATCACCAGACAGGTATTTAATAGGGATTTAGTTGAAATAGACTGAAACAATTTTAACACGCTTCATGAAAGAAGTGTCTCTAACATCATTGAAAGTTATATTTCAGAAATCTGAAGGAGTTTTAGAAAACAAGTGCCAGGATTTTTTGAAATTTTCTTCAAAACATATGTTGGTGCTCTTAATTTATCCAGTTGTGGAGGACTCACACAGATTTCAGCAGTATCTGTCATTTTACTATTCCTTAGTGTAAGTACTTTAGAAGGCTTAATGAAAAATTTCTCTCACTCTTCGGCCTCAACCCATTAGACTAGCAGAATATCCATGTTCTTACAGTGTTTTGACTCTTGAAAGAGCATTGGTGAGAACAGAACAGAAGCAAGACCTCTTGTAGCTATTGTGATGCCTGTGACCGAGTTTAAATGCTGTGCTCCAAACTACCCAGCTTTTTTCTTGAGCGGTTTTGGTGCGGGTTGTTCCTGTTTCTCGTGCAGATTTTCAGTCAGAGTCTAAGGGCTATTTATTAGTCCAAATCTGTTTTCTGTTCAATAAAATGTCATCACTTTTTGAGGCCTTCATCTCAGGTGCCTGGGACTAGCTTGCTGCCATTGTTGATTCATCAGCATTTGTGCTTTGTGACTTGGTATCTTGCAACGTCTGTTACCTCCTTTTGCGCTTGTTACTTATGAGCTGGCATCCTCCTTGATTTTCTTTCTTCCTTCCTGTCTGCATTTAGGCATGGTACCTAAGGAGGAAGGAAAATAACTTACTGGCTTCAAGCCCTGATCCCTCAGCAGAACTGTTTTTTAAACTGACCGTATCTGTCCTACCATCTGTCTCAAAGTTTTTGTCTATCCTGAGGTGCTGGCTATGTTTGCTGATGTTACCTTGAGCGCTTAAGAAAGTGGAGAGAGCTGTCAGCTCCTCCTGGAGATTTCTGGGACACACTTATAAATCTAGCACACTCTTAGCCTGGAGCAATGAGAAGAGATGCATAGGACTGCATTGTTTAGAATCGGACAGAGCTCACTTAGGGCTTATGTACCCTCCTCCATACTGTGACTTTGTGGTTGAACTATCTTACCCTAGCCACAAAAGGCTTCTATCAAATATTTTCTTTCAGTGTAGGTAGTGATTTGATACTTGGAAGTGGGCTGATCATGTAAATGAAAAACCTCTGCAAAAGAGATTGAGGCAGGTAGTTCAAGACAGTCTGAAGTTTTATAGTCCATATGTTAGAACCGATGTCCTCTCCCATCTCACGATGGAGACTTGGAATTTTCCCCTTTGTGATCCAGGTGCTGAAACTAAACACAGATACATACTGATTTCAAGCATGAAAATATATTCCACATTCTTGGTTTACTTTTGGTCACAAAAAGCTGTTGTGAAGCATTGGGATAGTACCCTTCTGTCACTAATCAACCAGTAAGAGTAGGCATGCTTAAGGTATTTGGAATTTGACTTATCTCTTGCCTGGCACTTCTGTCATAAGGGTCGGTATAAGAAATTAGCATCAGAACTCTCATTATCCTTATTGGAAGGTATTTGAGCACGTTACTGGTTTTGATGAACTGCTTTATACTGACAGTCATGGTTATCTTATTACCTGCATTGTGTTGTTTGAATTTAGCTGTTTCAAAAGCTTAAACATGCCCATTGCATGAGGTTGGACACAAAATCCCAGTAAGGAGTGTAATTTTTTACAATAGTTGTAAAAGAACCTTTCAAATGAGGAGCAAGGATGAAAGGAGAACCGAAAGTAGAGGTTGATAGTGGCAGACTCCTCATCCTCTGATTTCATTCCAGTCTTTCATTCCATTTCTTACGCTTCTGCCCTGTTTGCCTCCTTGTAGAAAAAGATGAAGCCCCAATGTTTGCATAACTTCCAGGGGAATTCAGCCAAAATGCATGCTTGCTTTTCCTCATATGAGGACAAATACACACACAAGGAGGAATTTTGGTCATTATGAATATAGTACAGTGAAGCCTCCTGTGTCCATTTTGTATGGGACTTGACATTTCTGAAACATTTTACTGGAGAGCCTTATGTAAATCTAAAAAGAATTATTTTTGCACGTTGTTTGATTTTGATGTGCCTAAATTTTTCTAACTTCTATTTTCCAGTATTACTGACTGTATAGTAAGAAGTGTCAGGACCTATTAAATTTGTTACACAATTTAGAGAACTGCATAGGTGCTGTGAATTTGAGATTCTATGTCCAGAGTTCATTTGAAAGCCATGTTAATAACTATGTCGCAAAAGATTCTTTGAGTATTGCCAAGCCCATCTAAAGGTTATTTTTTAGTTTTGAAATTTAAAAAAAAATTTTTTTTTTTCACTCTGTGTCTTCCGGAGCAAGCCTTGTACTTGAAGATTACTATTTGTTTTCTGACGTAATTGCCCTGGTTAATGTTACTACATTGTGGCCTCTGCTTTTGTAATGACTTTCTAAAAGCATATCTAAATTTGGTTGAGATTTCTAAAAGCTATTTAAAAACCCTGAGTGTTTCAATTTTAGGTTAATACTTATAATGAGCTTTTAATGCATATTACACTGATTTCAAAGCAGTTGTTTCTGAGCTAACAATAAATGTACTGGACGTTTAAATTACTTTAAGCAAATTGTATCTTTTCTAAGTATTAGCTAGATTTCTTTTCTGGAACCAGATCTTAAATACCTAAGAGCTAGAGGGTGGCAGTTTCAAAATTCCTTCTGTGTTTGGGGAGAGAAGATGGGCCTCACTTCAAAATTCCAGTCACCTATAATGACTTCTAAACACTCGTAAAATGTGTTAGCATTCAGTGTGCATACATATCTGAAAAATAAGGTAGGCGGTAAAGATGTCATGGGCCTTTGCCTTTTCAGCTGTTTGTACGGATAGGAAAAGCAGGCATTCAGATTCTATAAACAGTTTCTTTTTCTTCTAGCATGTATATGCATTAACTTGGAAAACCTCTCTCTAGAACTTGAAATAGTAGTTGTTTTTATGTCATAACTACAAATTTAGCAATTTGTTAATAGCTTAAAGTCATGATTAGGTTATTAAATTGTGACTTATTTACCTATCCAGACTAAAATGTCTTTAAAAGTAAAAGTATACTTCCTGTTGTCACCTGGCTTGTTTAAAAGAACGAGGTAATGTCTTAAACAAAAACAAGGCTTCGCTGCTGTTCTTCAAGCTTGCAGGGGGGAAAAAAGAACCCCTACTTTTGCCTCTACTAATTTTCTGTTGTTTTAGAAAAGAAAACCCTCTTGACTCCAAAGCAATTCTGTGGTGTGGAATTCAAGATAGAGAAGACGATTTTTCCTTTTACAACAAGATTGCAAGTTGTTTGATGTTTTGATGAGTATCTTAGTTTTCTCCTCCTGTATCTGAAAAATGATGATTGTTAACTGTGCTTGTGGTGGTGGTGTTGCATCATTAACCCAGCAGCTATATCTTTCCAATTGCTTCAGCATTGACAGTTTCTAATTAGTTTTCCTTTGAAACATCCCTCTACTTAAGCATCAGAAGAGCAGGATTATTCACAGGCATTATCTAGAGAGAAGGTGAAAATTACGTGTCTGTAAATCACTTCTGTAGGGACACAGCTTGTAGCATTCTTATTTATTGACCTCTGGTTTTTGTTTGTTCTGGTTTTGTTGCTATTCTAGGGGTGTACCTCCCTTGTGGTAATTATCTTGCATATTGTTTTAAATTTCTTAGGGTGAATTTTAGCTCTTGAGTTGATATTCCCTTTGGTAGCTTTGTCTCCTGCAAATTGTTTCCTGCAAATTTGGAAGTACTGAATAGAACGTTTGGCAAACAACATTTATACTCGGCAGGCTTTTGGCTGATGGTGGCCTATTCAGCAGCCATTTGGAGGCTCTACCTTGCAAATGCTAGCTTCAAGTGTCAAACAAACAGTGAGAACTAGGAGGGTTCTGCCAATCTTGAGTTGAGACCCAGGAGTAAGAAACTTTGAAGATAATTACATCAGAGAAACTGCACTCGGTAAGTAAAGTTCCTGTCAAACTTTGCATGAAGTCAGAAGGAGCTGCATGTTCATTTGCAGATGATCAGACCTTTGAGAAGTGAAATCAGTTGTGAAGGGCTAGACCTAGAAATTGTATTTAGAATTAGAAAGCTCTGTGTAAGAAAGGTTAATATTGATGCTACTTACTGAGCTATACTGTAAAATAGGAAATTGCAAGAATTTAAACAAAAATCCCAAAACCCTGATAGTTTTTAGCTTTAGATGGAAATAAAATAAATATTCTGCTGATTTTAATTTTCAGAGTTCGTTACAGGGAAGTTATAACTGCCCTTCAAATTTAGTATTCTGATTCTTCTAAGAAAAGAAACTTTTTAAAGTTACTTTAAAAGTAACATTCTTGTACTGTATTTTTTAGTAGTTTAGAAATCATTCAGCAGCTAAAATGTAGTGAAGACTTGGTCCAAACCTCAGTTATTAAGATCAGTTAAATCTCTGAAAGTATGTACAGTTTGTCCACCTGGCGTCTGTGTGTGTGTGTTTGTGCGTGAGGGGGGTGTACATGTGCATTTAATAGCCACTTACCAATTGCTGAGCTATCTCTTTTCTTCCCTTTTCTGTCAGTTTGAGAGCTGCAACTAGATACATTCAAACCAAGAAAGGGTACAATGACTCATATGAGTCACTGGAGAAATTGGGTTATGGTGAATGCTATTACCTGTTCAAGCCTTTAAAACAAGTTCAGCGATCTTCCTAAAAATGTCCTATTATTTAACGAGGAAAAGACTTCAAGCAGGAATTCTTGGGTTAAATTCTTTGGTTTGTGTGGGGTTGCAGATCTGACGAAAGGATTTTCCTGTTCTGTAACTGTTTTATTTTTACTTTATTTATTTATTTTATTTTCATCTTTTGCTACTCTTAACTTTTCAGAGGCCTTGCATATTCCTTTTCCCAATCAAATAACCAGTAAACTGGACAAATCCTTAAGGGGGGGTTGGTGGTTTTTCGTGCAGTTTACCAGCATCCAGTGCCTGTGGCCATCATAAAAATATATATATATTTTTAAATAGAAAGGTATTTTAAAACAATCAAATTGCTGTCAAAGGAATGAGATAGCTACAGGTTGTGCTCAAGTACATACATATTTTCCTAAACAAGGTGTTCATTAGCACACATTTTCATTTAAGTTTACTGTGTGTCTGAGTCTGTTGGCTGTCTTTAGCCATCTGTTAAGTTTTTCTGTCATCTTAAGTGTTTTTAGTTTGTGTAGGTTTTCAAAAAATACTTAGCGACAGAGTCTTTAGAAACTCGATCTAAAAAGCCGTAAAGCATCACACAGTTGATAACTTATGGGAATACAATTGTGCGGTATCATTAATTTACAGGCAGAATCAAATGGAACAAATGACATTTAGCAGGTCAGGTTCCTTAGTTTCTTTAATCCGGGTAGTAAAATGCATAAGGTGTACTGTGACGTTTTTGATGGTCTCTAGCTTACCTGTTTCAAATATATCGGATAGTGGCGAGAGGAAGATAAATACTATTATTTGGCAGGGGGGTTGGACTAGGTGATCTCCAGAGGTCCCTTCCAACCCCTACCATTCTGTGATTCTGTGATTATTGTTAATTTGCTTTTGTAACGTATTCTGGACAGTGCTCCCAGAAGTATATTCTTCTGACATGGCCACTATGATTTTTTTTCATGTGATAGTAGTTTTATATATAGATTATAATGCTTGGAAGTTTTTTGATAACTAGTTAAATTATAATTTGAATTTACAGTACTCGTAAAACTTTCTTTCTAAAAGATAGTGTAGGTATGGCCATACTTTCCTGTGAGAATGCTTGGGTGGGGGAGCTTCAGGGTAAAAGAAAAAAAAAAAAGAGAAAAAGGAATATGTAGGAAGAATTTTTGAACTGGGAAGAGTATTTCTTGAACTAGAGAGATTAATTTTCTTCTTAATAGAAAGTAATATAAAGGTAAGACCAAAGAAGGCATACTAAGTGAAAAGCTTTATTAGTTGAAACCAAATTAGTCCATGTTGATGTAAAAACTCATTTGAACATCTTGCTTAATACTAGAAAAATCCGTACTTTCATATACATAATAGTTTCAGTGCATGTTTAAAATAAAGTACATGTAGCAAAGCCTGTGAGGCTGTGAGGTTCCTTACATGTGTTTCTCCTATAACAGGAGAGAGACTTTCAAAGATACGAAGAATAGGTAAGCAAAAGATTGCTGTTAGTATTTGTTGGGAATTGGGCCTCTGATTTCAGTCTGCTCCCTTGGTGTCAAAAAGTAGTTAAAGTTTTATTGCTTGCTTTTGTGCTGTGATTTAAAGTAAAAGATTTTGTGGGCATCTTAATAAGGTGTGGCTAAACTTGGATGCTGTTGAAGCTAAGAGAAGGTAGCTTAGGCATGCTGGAGTTCATATTTTCTTGCAAGTTTCTTTGGCATCGCTTTGTGTCTGGATTTTTATACCTCACCTCTCTCTCTCTTTCTTTTTAAAATTCTCTCTGTAACGCTTAGAGCTTTGATAGCTCTTTGAGCTGCTCTTAACACACCTTTCTCAGGTGTCCATGTGGTCTTCAGTATATGAAAGTAGGACAGAATTTTGCCTGGAGTGTTAGCCTGCTGTTTTCATGAGACAGCAAAGGTAATTTAACAAGTTGCTGTGGTCAAAAGGGCTGGTCCTGCACTCTTTCTTGTGCTAACGTACAGAAAGTTGTTACTTTTTTTTTTTGATTGGGTTAATTATCTACAGGTTTGGTGAGCTGGATTGGCACACTGAAGAGTCACCAGAGACATAGGAGTATGTAGCTGAGAGAAGGGGAGGGAAAGATTGCCACTTGACTGACATCAGTGTCTTGAATTGGCTGTCTTCTACTTGGGGACCTTCAGTCTTTGAGAACTATCCAGTCCAAATGATGCAGCCAGCCACTTATTTTTTTCCTCTAGTGGTTGCTGAATGTCCTCCCTACCCCCCAGAAAAGAAAGCAAGCAAACAAAAAAAGCCAAAACCAAAGAACAAACAAACAAAACCTTTCCTACCCCTTGCTCTCTGTATCATTAAAAACTTGGGGCTTAAAAATAAAAAGGTTCTGTTTTCTAGAGGTAGGTGCTCTAGTTTTTGAGTCCCATCTGTATTTCAAAAAGTGACGAACAGCTCGTAGAAGTCCTGAATTGAATAAATGCCTAAAAATAAGAATGCCTTTTTGAGACTTTAAATACATTTTCAGGATAGTCTCAGTTCTGGCCTGTTGTTAGACTGAAGTAGCAGTAGCACTACTGTACATTTTGGTATAGTACTTTTGGCCTTAACTGAAATCTGGTCACAGAACACCATGTAAAAGTGAGATGGATTTTGCTATGGAAAGGAGAGCATTTCTTCTGTAATTTATAAATCCACTAACTTCCTCCCTTCCCTTCCGTTTGTAATATGCCTATTAGTGGACACAGTTTAACTGGTCTGCAACAGTTTCATTTCTTGTACTGGTGTTTTTAATTCCCTCTGTAGGAAGTCTCCGGTCTTGCAGTTCATCAGACTGCTTTAGTAAAGTGATGCCTCCAAGGAAAAAGAGGAGACCTGCAGCAGGAGATGATTTATCTGCTAAGAAAAGTAGACATGATGGGTATGTCATCTTACCATGAGCTAAGACTGGTGGAATATCTAAAGTTGAATAGCTGATATGATCGTGTTTTTAAATACTAATGGAAATGGTATTCAAATTTTCTTAGTTTCTCAATGTGGAACCATAGCCTATGATTGAACTGTGGGATATTGCTAAGGACATCTAGGTTCAGCTTGCGTCTCACCTTTTTCTAGTTGTACAAGAAGCTTGTAGGGAACTTCTCCTTGCTGTAGTTTGCCAGCTATCAAAATAGACATACTTGTTTGTTCAAAAACAACTTCTAAGAGCTACAGTAATATCTTCCTGTATATATGCATAAGATCTTGACTGAGCATTCTCACTCTACAGCCTGTCAGAAAAGTGAATGTAGTTGTAGCCCACTCAGCTCTTACTTGAAGTCATGCGAGTCTCTGCCTGCATGTTGTGATTTGTGGTCATCGTGTAAGGGAAGGATGAAGATTGCCGGGGGAAGGTGACAGCCAGTGGTGACTGAGGCAGTGCTGCTCAGCTTCGCTCTGGGCAACAGAAGTGCAAGTGGGTGATAACTGTGTGCACGAGCAGTGTATGCTTTTGGCATAGGCGTTGCATAGCTGAGACTTCTCCAAGTGTTGCGTTTTTCAGTATATGTATGTTCAGTCAGCCTCAGTCAGTCATTCAGAAGCCATCAAATGTGATCCTTGTGTGCAAGGTAATTGCTATTTATGTGCACTAAATTCAGAACTTGTGGGAGTTCAGGACTGTACACTCCTGCATAATTCAACATCAGGACAGTCCTGCACGCAAAGTGATGTATACAGCCAGAAAGTTTGGTTACCACTGCGTCAGTCAGTAGAAATTGAGCTCTATTGCGTTCATGTATTACTGGTGACTCAGAAAACACATGCTTCCATAACAAGCATCCCCAGGAAGGTAAAAAGATGCATTTCTCTCCTAACTGTCAGCCTGAAATCATGCTGGGTACTTTCCTTTGTATTCTCTAGAATGAGTAAGAAAAATGCTGGTAGCCAAATTAAGCCTCTGGTTATGCCTCTATAACTCCATTGTGTTTAATAGGGTTGCACAACTGTAGCTGCACTGGAATTTATTAAATGATCTGTTGATGCAGAAGAAGAGATTTGAATTCTCCCTTTCATTGCTTTGCATATGTAACACTAGCAAGAACAAAAAGGCAGCACATGTTCTTAATTTTTTTGTTGCTTTTCAGAAATATTAAAATATAAAAGCTAAATAGTTGATAGAGAACACTACAGCTTATTCAAAGATATGCATACAATATGGAAGTGAAACGAGGACAGAATGTTTCTAGAATCTAAGTAGAGAGGTTCGTGGAATTTAACTTTACCTCTCTTTGCCCAGATGGTAAAACAAGACAACCCTATACCCCTAGCAAGTAAGAGATACTGATTTGTGTAATTCAAATGAGAAAATTACGAGAAACTGTTTTCTTACCAAATCAGTACTATATATGTAATAATTTTTAGAGCTTTTTGAAAGCATAATTTGAAGGATTTTTTTAATATATCTGCCTTTCAGTTCATAACTAATGGATCTAGTCTTCATTCCACTGCTTTGTAAGGCTTTATTAAAAGGAAGACCTCAGCCTGCTTTTAGAAGTGGTGGTGAAACTAGGTCTGCCAGTCATGGGCCACAAGGGAATATCCGTCTCTGATGTGGTTCCAATTTTTATCTGTTCCTTCTTAACTTTTAAAGGTTTTTTGGCTTTCTCTGCTTCCCAGTGTACAAGATTCTTTTGTTTTGGTCTTCAAGAAAACAGTTTGTATTTCAGCATGACTGGCAATATGAAATCATTTGCAGAATATTCAGCTCAGTCTTGTAGCTCTATTTTTCTTTCAAGGAAGGATTTCTTCAAATTTGACTTATGCCCCTCTAACCTTCTGTGAACAAGTTAGACAAAGAGCAAGCTGTCTTCTACTTCCATGCTCGGTTGTCAGGCAGAGCTCATGCCTGGCGTGTTTGGTCTTTGGAGGTCAGATATCTATCTCAGTTTGTCAAGCAAAAATCATTCTGAAATCAGGGACCTCTGTAGCAGTGTGCTGTAGCAGACCTAGTTATTTGCAAAGCCATTCCCTCTTACATTGTAGACAGAATGCTGTATGCAATAAAACCAGTATGGATAGTGCAATGGCAGTTTATGGAATAAGGTGCTTCTGAGCCCAGTTCTTTGCAATTGCTTCTGTTTTAGAGGCAGACTTCCTAGAAGCGGTGTAATAATAACTCAGGATAAGCCTACAAGAAACGTTGGCCTGTGTGGCTTCTGTATTAAGCAAAAAAGGAAGTCAGTATCTGTTCTTGAATGTCTACTTTCAATGCAAAAATATAACCTGTGCTCTCCAGAAGAGACTGTATTTCCTAACAGAGATGATTTGTCACTTCAAATACAGAGAGGTGGAAGCTTTGTATGTTTCTCTGTTACAGTGGCAAACTTATAGGGGCAACGTAAACAAACAAATTCAGTAATTGTGAGTCTCCTGTTTGCTTTCAGTGCGAAAATGTTAGGTATTGGTGTGAAGATTATCAAAGGAGTGTCATCATTAACAGCGTTATCACAGCTGAGGCCAAATATTGATGATTCCTCCTGGTTTGTCCATACAAAGGAAATTTATTTTTTTAATCCTTACATGGATATTTTTGTGGGTGATATCTTCAGTCTTTGCTATTTGCGATGTGTTCCTATAATCTCTTCAACTATGATAGTAATATTTTTTGAGATATGTATTCTTTACAGAAAGTTTATTTCAGCAGTGCTCTGAGCTGAAAGAGATGATGATTTCTAAAGGCTTTTAAACACATCTGATACCAGGGAGGTTGTAATAGCCTTCACCCTCAGTTCCAGGCTGTTAGGGATACAGCCTTGTCTTGGAAGGATTAGTGGAATAATTATACTGGCTGTTGAGGAAAAACATTTATAGGAACAAATCTAGGAGTTAGTGAAGTTGTTTGGAAATGCTGATCTCATGCATAGACTGATTATGGAAAACAAGATTCCAAACATGTTATTTAGCATCCTACCCTTGTTACATAAGAGCTTGAATTCTGTTAATTAAAGTTCATATCACCTTGAACCGTGAATGCAGTGTTTCAGTGGGAGGGAATTTTTATACCATAATGAAAAGAACTCAATGTATTAATTTCTGGATTTATCCTGTCTTAAAGAATAGCTGTTGGAAGTAAACAGTTTAGCACACACTCACCAGAACATAGCGACTTGAAGACTTGGTTTATATTTTCCTCTCAATATCACAGTCTTGACTTTATTCTACTTAAAACTCTCACAGTATAGGGTATTCTCAAACTAGAGTTGAAAATACATTTTCTGTACATTGCTCTTCATCACTGTGTTAAAGGTCTTGGGAAAGGTAAAGCAAGCTTCATGAAAAGACACTTGCTAGGTAAGAATGTAGTCCTCAGTGTGTAATTGTCTAATGCTGTGTATCTGTTACACAATCTCTAGCCAAATAGTGGCTTTTTCCTTAGGGAAAAATGAGCTGTATAACATAATGTCTTTTCTTCTTTCTGATAGTCTCATTTAAAAAATAATTCTACTTCTTATTCCAGAATCATGCTGAGGGCAAAAATCTTAGTGATGGATGTTTGGACCTTAGAAGGATGAAAACTAGGCATATTTATGTGCTTCCCTGAAAGTTATATTTTCAAGCAATTAGATCTAGAGTCTAATTGAATCCTGGATGTGTGTGTGTACCACATAAGGGCCTATTAAAATGAAAAATAGGTTTTCTTTATTGAGTAATAAGCTCCATACTCTATACTCGAAAAACAGAAGATTTGAAAACACAGTCAACACACTGTTATTAACGTGGGAAGGTAAAATGGGAGTGGAAAACTTGGAAGTTCTCAAAACCTTAGTGCTGAGAGGTTGGTGGGGTTTTTTTGTTCTGTTGTCATTTACTAACTGGTTTGGTCCTGCCCTATGCAGACAGCCTGTGTTACCAACTGTCATAGATGTCTAAAACTTATTCCTTGAAGTAGAGACTTTCAAGTATGCACCAGTATAATTTTCCCTGTTTCTACACCTTTTCAGTGAACTTCGCTTGTTGGTTCTGAAGAAACTTAAACTGGACATGTATGCTGTTAATACATCCTGCTCCTTAACTAAGCCTGATGAAGTTCAGAACATTAATTAAAAAATTTAGAGGTGATTGTAAGTCTTTAAATAGAGAGAGAAAAGACACATTCATTCATAAAACCTACCAGTCAAGTAAATTTGGCCTGAGGGTTACTTTAGACAGTCCTTGTCATGCCTTGCAAATCGTAAACCATCTCGCTTTTCCGCCCCCCCCACTTCTTTCTGCTACAGTATTTGCGAAGCTGTTGCTAAAATCATAATTGTGAATGAATAGGTAAGGCTTTATAAAAATACTTTCATTGTGCTGCACTGATGAAAATTCTTAGCTAAAATTTGAAATTAATTAATTAGAATTAGTGGAAGCAGTAGGGGGCATCTTTGATCAAAAGTTTGCATCTTTCAAAATTAAATAATCTGAAAGCAATCAGTTTGAAGCTCAAACAAAATGAGGTAAAGGGTTTGAGTAAGATCTGCTTGCACAGAAGCAAAGCTACTGTTGGTAAGTTTCTTGATGTTTTCATTAGTAAACACTGACCATCTGAAAGGAGCAGGCTATAAATCTTCACGAGGGGTTAACTTTTGACTTACCATAATAAACTGTACCTTTTTTTTTTAATTTTTATTTTTTTTTCCCTTAAATGAGCTGTTACCACAATTAAGAGAATGTTTGTGTCACCTAAACTTCATGCTTTTGCTGATCTCAGTTTGAATATTCTGGATCCACACAGCCCAGAGTTGCTGCTGTGTTAGGTGGAGCTCTAACACATTCCAGTACAGTTGAAGCACGCTCAGAGCAGGAGTAGATACCCAAATTTGAAGACTGCAGTAGATTGAAGAGAATTACTGTGACCTTGTTCTTTTTGCTGGCAGCAACCATGTACTCTTACAATGACTTGCCTAGTCATCCCATAATAGCTGGATTGAATTTTCATGCTTTCGCTTTCCCACCAAATCAGTTATGAACGGAGGAAAATAGTCTGGAAAAGTTGTAGATGGTCATGTATTTAAAGAAACATGAAAAGCCTAGAACCTCAGGTTCTTTAGTTAGTTTGTTTACGTCTACCTTCCAATTATAAACTACATTGTCTCATATTTATTGCAGGTATATTACAGTTCCCTAGCTCATGCAGATATTTCAAAGTTAAGTTTAAAAATTGATGTTACAAGTCGACTATTGGGTCGTGATGGAGATGCAAGCATTTCTGAGAAAAGAACTTCAGTTAAATGTGGTTAAGTAGTTGATATCACTTTCATAAAATTTAGGCAGGTTAATCTCATGTTGCTTTTTCCCTACCCTGTCCCACATTCTTTCCTCACTCTAGTTGCTAAAATGGCTATTAGAAAGGTAGAATAAAAAAGCTAAATGCTCCTTAAGGGGATATTGGTTATAATAAAAAAAAAAATGGGTTTTGTCACTGTACTGACACTGACAGTGTCATGCTAAACTAATAAAACCTATTATTTTTTAAGCAAAGATTTTTCTGAGTCATTGTACCTGCATGCATGTCTCATCTGAATGACAAATATATACTTATTGCCCATAGTTACGGGCAGCATGTCAGGGTTCGGAAGTGGAAGGGTAATTCTGAACTCAAAAGCTCAGAGTTTGCTATTGTCCACCAGTGATAGGTATAGCAGGCATTCTGGGTAAAAGTTCTGCATGCACCCTTCTAGCTTTGATGATGGAGAAAACACCCTTTAGCAGTCCTGTTCCAGTGTCAGCATTCTCTTAACAGTGGTACAAATTCTGGTACCGAAAATACCAGGTATACTCATTGGCCCTTCCTTTATGGAAGGTGTCTGTAGGGTTTTAACTTCTCCCTGCCCCCCCCCCCCCCCTTTTTTTTTTTTTTTTCCTCCTCCAGGCTCTAAGCAGTATGTTCTTTCCCTTCTGGTGTGTGACTGAAACTCTGCAGGTTCCTCTTGCGGACCATCAACGCATAAGCAAATCACCAAACATGGTCAACATAATGGTTGTGCATCTGTTTGAAGATACTGGTGCTGGTCATCTTGAGGAATCTGTCAGTCATTGAGGACTTGCTGTTTGAAACTCGGATCTGTTCAGTAGATGTTTAGTGCTCCCAAAGTATTTAGAAATCTATCCTATGCACACTGTCAGTTTATATCTCTCTGTGTAGCAAGAGATGCTGTCCTTAGCACAAAGACAAGGCACATCATCTTGCAGTACGTAAAGAGAAATTCCAAAGATACAAGAAATATTTGAAGACACAAAATGGATGCCAGACATCTCTGGCAGTTTGTGTTTTTCTCCTCTGTACATATGGTTCTTGAGACAATCAAATTTTTATTAATGACAGTTCATAGGACACAGCCTTTGGAATCATTTTTACCCTTTGCTGCCGGGTTGGTATCACTGTGATAATTGAACTGAGTTGTCCTAGGCTGTAATCTCAGATACTTGTCTACTTACTTGTTTGTATCTCACTGCTCATCTTGCTTCTCCAAGCACTTCAGGGATGAGGAGTCTATTGCTAATAGATCTAGCTGGTTTGGCTAGACTGGAGGGGGGGAAACTCATTTGGTGTTTGGAGTAAGCAGGGAGAGAACAGGCTTCATCTTCATACATGAGAGATCACTATTACTGGGTCTGCAGTGGTGTTACTTGTTTCTGTTGTATTCCTTTTCAAGTGATCCTTGTCTTGGGCAATATGTGATCTGCTCTTAGTTCCTTTAGGTTGAGAGAAAGGCATCTGAGATTCATCTGGGCATTTTTGTTGCAAGCTTTTATAGTTCAGGCCCTGCATAGTCTCTTTTTGTTACAGATGTGATACGGTATCACCTGCAGTTTTAATGAATGTCTGGATAATTAACTTGTAGCGGAGACTGGGATAGCTCAAGATTACATCCTTTCTGATTTTATTTTCTGAGTTTGTGAAGTAATTTCTCTTGCCAGCGCAGGTTAGAAGATCTGTAATCAGTTCTGGTTTCTCAAAGATCAGACTCCAGTGGTCAGATATTGAGCTTTTTGAACAATGATACGTTGGAGGCTAGAGTATTTTGCTTGGAGTTACTTGGCCATATGTTGGGCACATGGACTTACTAATGAATATTGTTGTTTCCTGTAGTTCCTAAACAATGGCCTCAGCCATAAGCACAGCGGATGACTTTCAGTCCTGTATCAGTCCTATGAAGACTTGCTATGTGTAGATGCAGTGAATGTATAAAAAGTGTTGGTGTTTTTCTGTTCTCATTCACCATTCCTTTTACAGACACTGCTGTCATTGGTGTCTTGGTTCAGGCTACAGCATTTAGCTCTGCCACTTGTAGATGCAGGAATCCTTTTTCTGAAATATATGTGGATGGCCTAGAGCTCTGTCAGTAAATTTGTTTCTTGAGGGTTCCTTCCCAAATCTACTGTTCACATACTGACAGCTAATGTGTTGAGAGTTACGAGAACAAGCAGGGTGAGGCACTTGGTTGTCATGCCTTTGTAAGAAAAAAAATATTGAGTCTTGTGATGAATGTCTGTCTTTTGGGACCCACATCAGCTTTGCACATCCTAGGTCCCACCAGTGCTCTTAGAGACTTGTTGAATAAATAGAATAAAGATGTTGACTAGCTCCTGCTACAATTGGTTTTCAACTTGGTATTCCAGTTGGTGTTTGTCACGTTTGTTTGCTACGAAAAAGGGATGCTGAATAATTAGACTTTTGCCAAAGTGGCAGAATGCTTTCTTTCTTTGTCTCAAGACATTGTTTTAATTCCTCTGAATTCAGAATAGCCTAAGAAATATTGGGTAGGTTTTTGATAATCACAGTTCATTCTGCAACCTATGAATGTTATCAGACCTGCTTTTGGAAAAAAAAAATTTTCCAGCTCTGACTTACACCTTCTGGCTTAATCAATTACTTACTGGGCAGTGCTGTCAGCCTGTTCCTTTGCAACTGCAGTAAAGATTATACAAAGTAGGTATTTCAAGTAGAAAAAAGTGTTTTAAAAATGAAACAAAACCCAAACCCCACAAGTTGTGGGTGTATAAATAGAAGTGTTTGAGACGTGTATGGCTGGCATTTTTCTGCAGTGTTTCACTTTGCAGATCAGTCTGTTTCAGTACAGTGTTAATTTTCTTTCCATCTTGAAATTTCTTAAGAGCCTCGTTTGTATTTGTCTTCCAATTAACAATTTATCATTTTGCTCTGACTAATATTACTTTTCTAATGGCTAGTTGCTTAAAAGGAACTATGACAATAAATATGAAGTAGTTCTTTGAATTGATGTCAGAATGATCTGTGTACCATTAACTTCTAGCTACAGTTCCTCATAGCTGATAGCCAAGCTAGGTATAAGATAGTGAGATCAGCGTACTCTAAGCTCATAAGTATAGACATCTTATACACGTCTTTCTAGAAGGACAAGATGGTGATGAAATAAACTCCAAATTAATTTCATCAAGTTGTTTCAGAATTCTCCTTGAACCAATTAGCCACTTTGTTGTCCTCCCCCACCAGGGCTTGACACTGTAAGAGGAAGGGGCGCGTGCTTGGAACACTTCAGAGCTGTTCTTGGCTGCCTCCTCTAGTCTAAGCCATTTATTGCTTGGCTCTTTTCAGCCTTTATGAGCTCAAGCTGCTGCAGAGTGGTGGAGATGATCAGAGAATGCATATGCAGCAGTGAACAACTACTGGGACTGCTGAGTCTCTTTCCTCTAACAGGCACAAACGATACTGTATCTGTTTCAGGGAAGTCTAAACTGGGTGGAGTAACTCATCAACCTCTGCTATCCCTTCTGTGCTTTAGGTGTTTCAGATACTAAATTCAGGAGGCTGGTAATTCGGTGTTGTTTCCTGAACGTGGTTAAAATTCCTTATAGTTCTTGTCGAAGGAGAGCATTACCTTGCTGGTCATCCCTGAGGGGAAGGGGTGCTATGGATCTAGCTTTTCAGATAACTCTTTAACCCATGATGAACAAAGTTCCTTGAGTTATTGTCAGTGAGGACCTGTAACCTGTTCTCTGTGGTTCTTTTGTGTTAACAGCTTGCAGGCTTTAGAATAATGTTTGGGTCATGGTTAGAATATGTTCAGAATAAAGTGTGGGTTGTGTCTATTTTGGCCTTTATGCCTTTTACAGGATTTTTTGAGGAGGCAAAAGGAGTGGGTGCAGTTCTCCTTAGTTAATAATTCAAAGTGCATGAAGTTATGCGTGTGCCCACAGATAGGACCTGTGTTGACTGCAGCATGCAATTACTCTGGGTTTAGACCCACAGCCAAGTTGCAGCCCGTCAGTTCTTTGTGGTAATTAATGGTGTGCACAAGTCTTACATGAACTTACACAAAGCAGTTTGCAGTTGAATTTGTCCTAGTCCGTATTTGTTGTAAGGAAAGTTCATGTACATGGATAATGATTATGAATCAGTTGAAGTGTGGCAGACTGAGCAAACACAGTGTTTAGGGTCAGTGATTCTTACTCTGTTAAGCTGTGTCACAAGTAACTGGATATGAGGACAGAATGTTGGGTAAACTGGTTCATGAAAGGAAGAATGTTGCTGCTTACAGTGGCTGTTGACTAAAAGATTACTTTTTTAAAAATTGATGAATTAATTACTGTTTCTCTTTCTTTTTTTTAAGTATGTATAGAAAATATGATTCAACTAGAATAAAAGCAGAGGAAGAAGTCTTTTCAAGTAAGAGATGCTTAGAATGGTTCTATGAATACGCAGGTAAGGGTGAAATGCAAATTTCCTCCTAATGACAGTTTAATCTACATTGGAGTATAAAAATTGCATTAACGGAGCTTTTCCAAGACTGAACGTAGAGGCCTTTTGTGAAAGTCTTAAAGAAGTTTTTCTTATGTTCTGTGTAGCGTGAAGTCAAAGAGTTCAGGGGGCGATTTTGTCTTTGTCTCTATTCTATAAAAAGAATGCAGGTGCATAACTGAAAATATTTTGGAAGGTGCATACTTCACTGTTCAAATCTATAGTTAAAGCTGTACTTCTGTCCAAAATGTTATCACCTCTCTGGCTGTAGAAATTCTGTCATCTGCTGTGTTAGTGCTGAATAGTACAGAATTATACTTCAGGAGAAGTGTGTCTTTAATTGCAAAAAAAAAAAAAAAAGGTGGTGGTGGGAGGG